TCCTTCACTCACTCACTCCTTTATCCCCGAGCCTCTGCGATGCGTCCGCCCACCTCTCTCTCTCCACCGCCGTCTTCGCAGCCAATGTCGCTGCCAGAATTCGCGTCCCTTGTCGAACGCGGCACTCGCCCTCGACGCGCCCTGGACCTTCGCTCGTGCTTGGGTCCCCTCCTCCTTCTTCTTCTCTTCTGCGGTCGGGCTTCTCGCAACTACTCTCCACTCCAGCTACTCCGCATCCGCATCCTCCTCTCCTCCCACACTGCGACACCCATCAGTAATCACGCAACCCTTTGACGCGCCTGAAACATCGCTTCAACGCTCGCTGCCCCCCATCGTTTCGGCTCGGCTTCTTTTCCGCGTCCACTGCCTCTCTGATTCTCAAAGCACCGGAGCCGGAATCGGATAGTGAGGGTCTTCGTGCCGTACGTGCCGCTTGTGGTGGCAACGGAGCGAGTCCATCCTGGGCCTCCCTGTCGTCCTGCGACACCTCCACCTTCACCTCATCATCTTCCACTCATCCTCATCCTCAGCATGTCCTCTCATCGTCAGAATCCGCGTCCGCGTGCGCCATCCGACACCTCGCCTTCTCATTCTCATCCTCCGTACATACTACCGAAACCACCCGTGAAGCGATGGTCGTCGACCTCCTCTCCTCGCCAGCGTGCACGAAGCCTCCGGGCGTCCCCTCGATCTCAGCCCTCTCCCTATTCACCCTCCCCGCGTCGTTCACCGCACCCTCGCCCTTGCCCCGCCTCCACCGCCCAAGTGTGCACGGGACCTTCCTCCGATCAGACCCGTGCCCGCCGGGCCGATCCCAGAACCGCCCCGTGCTCGGTGCATGGATGTATGCGCGCCTATCTGCGCGGTCCCGCCGCACCCGTATTCCGCTGGCTACGCCGGGACGGTTTACGGGTTTCATGACAACGGGGTTGTCGACGACGGCGGTGATGACGACGATCTCTCGGAGCCGCTGCTGCCCGCGAGAAAGAGGTGACGTTTCCGGAGACGAGCAAGATGACGCAGATGGAGACGCGCGATCGCACTCTCTGCCCTGGACGCCTTCCCCCCACGCCCCGGTCACGCCACCGCGGCGCAACCGCGCGTCATCGCCGTTTCCGTTCAAGACCCCCCACGCTTGGCTTCGTCGGCGGGGAGCGTCATGTCGGGTGTTCGGATGAAACGTGGTATACTGCGTGTGAAGGGCTGGACTCAGTGTGAGTTTGTGAGTGGGGCGAGCTCAGCTGGTCGATCATGCGCCTGACTTGTGTTTTCAGCGGCATATCGCGAAATCACGTTCGCGTGTAAATCAACTCAACTCTCCACATCTCTTGGGCGCATTCCCCCCTCCTCTTCGTCCCCGTTAGCTTCATTATAAAATAACTTAATAAGAGGACGCTCAGCTGTAAGAGCGAGCTCGCTCTGCTCTGCTATTGTTTGTTGTACCTCACTGTACACACATTTACTCTACGTGCGTCGCACTCTCGTACGTCGCATTTCGCACTCATACTCTCCTTGAATCACTTGTTGTATGTAACACACATTGAATTGAATCCTGTTGCGGTTATCAGCGCCTAGATAGGGCTGCGGCGATCTTTCGCACAGAAGGTCTGGACACCCATGTACATGGATACAAGACTGACATCGCATACTTGTAGCTCCTCATCTTCGGGCTATCTCGGATGCTCTTGACATGACCCGGAATCCGAAATGATCGTAGGGCGGCGCCGAAAAAATACACTAGACGAAGTCCGCACCGCGCTCAAGCCATCGCTTGCTTGCTTGAATTCCGCCATCTCGGCAGCAGCGCAGCAGCACCAGCCGCAGCCTCGCTCCGTTTGATCGCAGCAGCGCTATCCAACACTTAGGGTTCGATTCGAATTCAAATGCAAAAAACTGCCGCCGCCGCCCGCGAAAGGACACGGGAGAGCCTAGAACGGCGCGCATGCGGCTAGTGGGATTCTTGAAAAGCAGCCCTGGGTTGAGAAGAGGCCGATCAGAACAGTTGTGTCCGCTGCTGCTGCTCTGCTGCTCACACCGACCCTGATAGAATGCTCTCGAGGATCGCCGTGCTGCTCTTCCTCGTGGTGGGCAGGGCGTATTCGGCACCGGTGGATGCGAGTGTCGATGCATCTCCGCTAGCGACGTATAGCGGGGACGGTGAATGGTTTCTGTACAGATTCACGCAACCACTGATTCGCTGCGATCGCAGGACGTTCTACGTGCCTGGACTGGGTGCTTGCGGGCGAGTTAACCGGAGAGGGGACCTGATGTGGCAGTAGGACACGGCATTTCGATTCACCCGTACGTGCCGTTGAGTTCATGTAGCTCCTACTTGCCAACTGAACGGATAAATTGTTGAAGCGGCGCTTCGAAGGTCACGAATCCCAATCTGTCAGTGGTTCCAAGCGGTGGGCAGCTCTATTGACTTTACTGACCCTTCGCCAGAAACCCCATTTGCGGTAAACGCCTCAAAGCCACCTGTGCGTCTCCTCTCCCGTCCGAATTTCATTAGGCTAGTTGGAACACTCATGCCTGCCTACAACCCCAGATCGCGGGAAATTCAGTCACCGTGACCGTGGAGGACCGTTGCGCAGGCTGTGCGGGTGCGGCCGATCTAGATTTCACGGAGGCTGGATTCAGGAAGCTCGCGGCGCTGGGGGTGGGCCGGATAGAGAACGTGCGGTGGATCTGGGTTTGAGCACGCCACTGGTCAGGATTCTTCATGTTGGTTCGTGCGTAGAGCACAGCGATGGTCGGATACTGCTGGGAAAGATAGAAAGTGCCGCGTATAGTCAGACCAGATTTCATGAATGAATGCTCTGCGGATGTGGATCAGGAGCCAGAGGCCGGTGCGATCAAGGCTGCAAAAGCGGATGTGACGGGTGCCACGCCCCGGCTTGTCCGACAGTAACTTCGGCTATGAGGTGCATCGATCGCAGAGGTCGATCAAGGATCATAAACGTGTTTCATTCCTGGAGCGCTGGAGCCCTGGAGAGAATCCGATGGCCGCGCGCAGGAAGGAACAGATTGCACTGAAGACCCGAGAAACAGGCATGACCACTCCTGATCTGTCAGCCACAAATCCGAGTGAGATTTACAAATGTCAGACCTGATCCAACTAGGTCAGCTCATATGCTCGGCGACCACGTGGCACAGTCGTCTTGACACCGGCCCGGATTCGTGACAGGACCCGGCGTCCGTTTCGAGAAGCGAGCCGGTTCGTAAGCGGATGACAGAACATCAGAGGGAACTGCGCAGGTTGCGGTCGACGAGAGCACAGAACCGAACGAACACCCGAACAAGAGGCGGTGGGTATGTCAACGAGCCACACTCACTCCTCCGCCGTCCATTCGAGACAGCGCACGAAGTGCCACCGGTCAGTCAGCATGTGTAATCTGGTTTCTAGACGTGTGGCACCGCCCACCGGACGTCGGCCAGGTGCAGCACAAGCAGGAAGCGGTGCCAGCAGTGCCGTTGCCCTGCCGAGTTGGCGCGCGGGCAATGCATAGAAGGCGAAGTTGCGCCACAACTGATTGTGCGCGTCAAGCTCATACTCGACACACAGGAAATGAAGCACAGAGAGTTGTTACATTTGTGTCGGTGGGAAAGACGCGGAAACAGAGGCTGGGCTGTCATCGGTCCGCAGGGCCGCAGACGGACTCTGCCGGCGGAGTGAACAATCAGGTGCCTCTTTGACTGTCCATGGCCGTCATCTTGCTATCTGAGACAACAGAGGTTCTCTCTCGCACTGTCCCCGCTACGAACTTGGACCGGATTTGGTGCTTCTCTCCCGGATCATTACAAGTCCTGCACTGCCCGCCCGGTCTAGCTCCCACGTTGGTTTCACCGCAAACTGAACATGCTGACACACGACTATGGAGGCCGGGAATTATATGCTGATAAGCGGGGGACATATCACTGATACGCGAAAGTTTGCCGACATGGCATCAATGTCATGATGCGCTCTATGTCATGATGCGCTCTGTCTGGACCCCGAACGCTCGTTAGTGATGATCAGAATGATCACGTGCAACAACCTTGATGAGCTCGCTGACAAATCCATTGAGATCTTTCAGTGCACGTGATAGATTGATCAAATGATCACGTGCAACAACCTTGACGAGCTCGCTGACAAATCCATTGGATCTTTCGTGCACGTGATCGATGATTTCAGGGCTAGGGCGCATCACTGCTCGTCAGCATGTATGTACTACCAATGATCATTGAAATCCTGAGAGTCTTCTTCGTCCGAGAACCATGCGTACAATGCGTGAGCGTCATCCGGTAACTGGGATTGGGCATGGGATCCACTTCGGGCTCGATATCGTTGATCATTGCGTTCAGACATGCGTGATGTTCAGGACCTCCAAAAGGAGACGAGTCAGTGAACAGTAAGGTTCCAAGTAATGGAACATACCGAGACCATCCCCATTGTTGACTCCACCCATATAATAAGCACCCTCTCCGACGCCCCCTCACCGCCCGCAGTTCCTGCAAGTTTGGGAGAAGGGGAATGTTTTCATCGACCGGCTGGGTCAGCACATGCCCCCACCTTGCATCGGCACTCTGATCGATATCGTTGAGCTGATCCAACTCCTTGAGCAATTCAGGAGCTGGAGATATACATCCCAACATGAGTCCCGTCCACAATAGGGCTATTAAGCTTGCATAGATATCCAAGATCGCGATCTCGAAGTCAGGGGAACAAGGAGAAAGACGTCATGATCAGTGGTGCGTACATCTGTCGGACTTTTCAATACCGATAGGATCGACCTTGATCTGTAAGGGACTAGTAGTTAGTGGCTTGTACTTGATGAAATTGGACTCGTACCTTGAAATCGAGGATGGCGTAATCCTCTGGGAACTCAAACATGCTAGTCGGAACACCGTGAGGAAGGATCTTGTTACGATCACAGCGCTTTGCGGTATTGTTCACGCGATGCCGATACAGCTCGAGCTCGCCCTGAAGCCACGGGATGAATACCCAACGGAAGACTAAGCTGCGCTGTGATCAGAAGTCGAAGATCGCTTTGAAAGTAAGGAAGATACACACGCTTCGAGTAGAACTCCCGGATTGTACCAGCCCTCGTTTACACCAACGTCGAGGATGTCTTCAAAGCCAGGAGTGAATCGACGCCGCATCTGACTCCATGTGATTTCCGGCATGATGTCTTCTTCTTTCGCATCCAACGGTGCTGAGAGGTGCCGATAAGTGAGGGGTCCTGATAGTGACGCAGCTGTGTGTGTCCATTCGCAATCCCCACGTCTCTGACCCAGGATCGCTCTGGGTCACAAGTGGGATGACTGCGATAAAAACGTCGTGAATATAAGTCCGAAGAGATCAATACTGCACATACCCCAAGCCGTTCCACGGTTTCCAGATAATAGCTGAATATAAGGCGGGGATTGCTGTTGTTCCACCAAATCTTCAACCAATGAATCATGCCGAGAATGGGTCAATCCCAGTGTGTAGCGCTAAACCGAATTTATACTTCCATTTGTCGTGCTGATCTACAGCCCATATATCGTTGGCACCCGCTGCCCAGAACTGCTTGCGCTTGAAGTGTCCACGTCGGCGCTCACGAACAAGATCGGGCTCATGAGTGTGAAAATAGCGCATTACAGTCTCGCTAGAAACATACCTATGTGAGCGTATGAGAACACAATTGGAGGGATCACACACGGGACACGCGCACATTCTCCTCGTGTAAGCAAGCTAACCATCTCCCGTCCGCCAGCCTTGGGATAGATCGGACGGAGTTTGACAATAAATACCCCAATTGTGTCCACGGTGTGGCCTTGACGCCGCGTGCGTATGAACCAAGCTTCTCGCGAATTTTTCTAAATGTTTGAACTCTAATTGAGAGCGGTTAGTAGCCTGCACAATGAAGACACAAATATACACGCACTCGAGGCCGTATTTGTTGAGATCGATGTGATACTTCTTGAGCAGCTCGACGATCTCGACATCCTTCTTGTTCTGCTTCCAGTACTTCTCGATGAAAGGACGGAGGTCTTCAGCATTAGCTGTGAACGTTCCAGAGCAAGGGCAAGGTGAAACAGTTGGAAGTGTAACACGTACGAACGGGCTTGTACTGATTGGGCATTCAGAGAGTTATGAGACCGCTGGTGGCACAAAAGAACCGAGGAGGAGCTTCTGTTGGAGTGCGAATAAGCCAGGACTCACTTTATAGTGGCGATCTGAGAACACGATCAACGAGCTGGGTACGGCGGTAGTACGGAGTGGAAGGCATATGCATGTACTTAGAAAGTCAGGGTAAACAAAAACGTTGCTGATCGGAGTTATTTTCAACTCATGTTGATAATGTTAATGTTGATAACCGAAGGACTTTTTACAAACCTAGATATCATTTCGGATCGGATCCCAATTGATATAATTATTCTCCTTGTCCGGTAGTGCAACTTCCCAGGCATGTACTTTGGTGAGTCGTTGTTCTCAACGAGGGCCTCGCTTGAGAACACGCAGGGCGGCAGTAATAAATTCAACATCAGCATCAACACTGAAATCGCACATGTTGAGCGCTTGCTGTGCTCGTTGCATACCACCGCGGAAATTCAAGGGTTTACAGCCCAGTAATTGGCGGAGCCCTAGTGCGGCCGGGCACATGCTTAAGGCGCTACATCCATTCCACCAAAACGTTGATTAAGAACTGAGGATCCATGACACACCGTGAAATTACTGAGACCGAGGCAGTCTTACCGAGCCTGGGGGAGCACTCTGGCACACAGCCGAGATTGTCGACCCACTACTAATTGCTGACGCTCAAAGGCCTTAAAAGCGTCTCACAAAATGGGACTTAATCGTCGCCTACTGGTGCTGATCATGCTGGATCAACCCTCTTTGCCAACTTCACCGATGATAGTTCTGATCAGGAGCCCGTTGTGTGCCAGACTGGAGCCCGATGCTACACTCGCGACCGTTCTGATCTCACAAAGGGCTTGCTGATCTTGCCCGGTCAGCCTCGCTTCGGGTGGAGAGACTTTCTGCTGTCTCCGGTGGCAGGCTTGTGTGTGCAGCTTGCCATGCGCATTACGCAAGGAAAGCCTCGAGCTCGGTCCGAGGTACTTTAGATGCTAAAACTGATGCAATTTATCAATCACAATCTGTGCAGCAACGTTCCGGGGCGATCTGGAAGGCGAGAAAGAATCTATCCGGCAGAGGAAACATCCAAGGACGCGTTGGAGGTATGTTATTTTTGTTCTATACCCTGCTTCTGACTGAGCATTCGCAGACGCATCTCGTGGAGGCCGGATTGCGGCCATTCCATCGGGTCTAATGGGACCGCCCCTTGAGATCCCACAGCGATCCACAGGCACGTACATCATGATCTGCTCAAATTTAATATCTGAATTCTTAAGGTCCTTGTTTCGCTTCCAAACCACCGATATCAAGTTCCGGATCGTCCAGTGCACCAATTAATCCGGGGCAATATTCAAGCCAAGGCTATTCTGCTGCTCACTCTCAGTATGCCGCGGCACGCGGGGCTTTTACCAAATCAGCGTATACTGGGATGTCGCCGCAGTGGATCACCCTGAACATTGGTGTCCGCTATGAGACTCGTGGTCGACCTACTGGGCAAGTCTTTGGGGTATGTTACGGTGACGTGTATCATTTTTTGTCACGAATTTGTGCTTCCAGACGATTCACGAGGGCAAGAATGTCCCTGCAACTTACCGCAAGCGAAATTATCACAGCCGTGTTGATAACGTGGCGCCCAAGCTTCGTCAAGCCATCGCTCAGGAAACTGACTCTCAATTTGTATTTGATGAGTCTATTTTTTAGTACGCGATACTGAAACGTGGATCAATGTCCACGCGGAGCTCCCAGGATCCAGCGTGCTCTATGAGCGTTGCCTCAAGACATCAAAGGCTCGTGCCGACAAGGGCCAACTCGTGTTTCAGCGACCGAGAAAGCCCTTTCAATTTGCACTTGTCATCGACGCCAAAGAATGGCTCAGATATGAAAATTACCGTGATGCCCGGGAGCTGGACACACTCTCTATTCAGGTGCGTATACTAGTACTCTCCGTATTTGGCACGACTGACTTTCTGAAAGGATAATGCCGATACCGTCTCATCTGCGCTACGCTCGCACATGGTACAGCGTGCCCCTGAGCCTTCGGCCCTCAAATTGACAGTCCTGTCGGCCGCGGAGACTACTAAGAACCGAGTAACGGGTGTTTGACACGCTCAAAAACAAAGAGCAAGGTGAGCGCTTCTATCTGATTCTTGTATCTGTTTGATTATTTATCCAGCAGACTGCCACTGCCAGTTCGTTCAGCTCCGTTCGACCCTCTCGATCGGCGCCAAGCTTGCAGGACTTTACTCAGCCAGATCAAGCGCTGCCAGAGTCGCCGCTTCCAAGCTCTGGCACGAGAGAAATTTCGTCTCAGGGTGTTCGTTTACCCTTCTCATGTTTTGTCGCTGACTCGATACATACATGGAATAGGAATCCAGTAGCAAGATAGCGACTTCGAAAAAGCGTGCTGCTAGTCCAATCGACGATTATCATCCGGTTGACCAGCAACGTCTTCGAAAGGCACTCAGTATAGGCGGCTCCTTTCCCAACATTGCGAGAGGTGCGTCTTACTATGAAACTTAAGTATTCAGATCTAATCTCTATGCAGCCTTGCACACAACGGAGATAATCCAATTCTTCCGTATCACTGGGACCTCCGATCTCAATAATCTCCTCGCAAATGGCGGACAAAAATTTGTCTGCGATATTGCGAAGGCGGAAGCCGGTACTCTGTCGCTCCAGCCTTCGGAGAAGCCTCTGGGGATCGGTTCGTTCAAATCTGCTCATTCTGCGTTTCTGACGCTGTCCACTTTGCCGACCACACCCTCGGAGCGCTTCCAAATCAAGCCGTTGCCGCGAAACGCATGTTCAAGAACAACAAGAATACCGTCTTGATCCGCTTCAACCCATCGATGAATATGCGCACCATGTATCGGAGGCAAATCTCCTATTCTGGGGCACTACCCTTCTCAGTTTCGTTTATTCTTTCGTGCGTAACTACATATCAAAGCATGTCGCGCCACCAGGCGACCTCCTATCTTTGAAGTCCGCTTCGTCGAGGCCGGCGTTGCTCTGGTTCACAATGCGGCGGCAGATGGCAAGTCGAGCAAAATGATGACATCACTCCGACGATCATATCTCATTGAAGAATTAATTGGAACGGGTTTGTTCTCTGCAACGACTCGAGTATATTGCTCACTGAATTTCAGGCAAGTTTGTGAAGTACATCAATAACAATAGTGCAGTGCCCGTTCCGTCGCTTCCAGAAGATCTCAAGCTGTTGGCATCGTTCCTCTGTTTACACAACATGTCCAATACGACACACCGGGCGTTTGGTCTTTCTTTCTGATCTTCAAGGCCGGTTCATTCGATCTGGCTCACTGTTTCATACTAACTCTATCCAAGGCTCCGGAAATCTCTTGACGGATCCGCAGGTTATGACTTCACCGTGCGCAGTCCACTGCTGTGTCAATCTGCGTGCTCTTGATATCTGACTGGATCATCAGGACTCTCGAACGTGGTCTGTTTGGTGGTGGCAATTCAGGCAGGTTCTTCGAGAAGTTTCCTGAGCAGCATGTATGCTCCGGTTACTGCAAGTTTTTTGGACTGTCTAGTCTCATGTAAGTAGTTACGCTCTATCGCTACTCTACAGTGCATGTACTTGGCCTTTTTCATACATGTTAACGAGCGTTCGGGGTCCAGACAGAGCGCATCATGACATAGAGCGCATCATGACATTGATGCCATGTCGGCAAACTTTCGCGTATCAGTGATATGTCCTCCGCTTATCAGCATATAATTCCCGGCCTCCATACACGACAGATATTCTCAAAGACGGGTTTCCAATCGACATGCATATGTAAGGCGGGCTGTTGAAAGTGCTAAATCCTCGGCGCAATCGGGCAGCCGACTGACTATCAGATCCCTTCCCCGAACCGCCTGCGGCAACAGATTTTGAACGAGTACTTTGTCTTCTGCGACCCGGGCATGTGGAATGAAGCTCACTGGCCCAGACCCATCTTGATGATCCATCGGCACTTCCTGTTGGTGGAGCGTTGCGTGGGTCCAGGACTGCTTCAATCGCTCAGTCGGCCACCCGCGGTTACTCGCACACAATTTGAGCGTCCGACGGCGCGTGCCAATCGGAAATTTTCGACCTCCCGCGCTGATCACAGTGATTGTCCATCGCCACATTGGAGTGACTTGACTGTGATAATGTGAGTTCAGTGTGATTGCGGGCAGCTAGGAGCGGTGATACACCCTCTGCCTGATGCCTTGCGCGTCGATCCTTGTCTATGCCTTGCGTGGTTTAGAAGAGTTGTTGCTAGATGGGCGCTACTACGGCTCACTGAGATGTCTTCGTGCAAACATGCAGTTATAGCGGTCAGAAACTACTTAGTTGGCCGATGCCACATGCCTTGTCGAATACCCATATTAGTCCGTGAGAGCATTGAGTTTCGGTCGAAATCATGATCTAAAAGGACGAAAGTTGAGACTCAGCACTACAGCATGTACTAGTCAAAGTTCGTTCCTTCACTCCCATCACGAACGAGCATGCTGTTCACGCTCATGGAAGAGCGCATGCGGTGTGAATTCTCCGACATGGTGGCTCTCCCCCCAGAACGATTCGGGGAACGGAGGGAGTCATGTCCGTTTTTGATGCTGCTTTGTTCTGTGACGTACTTACAGCCTGCAGCGCATCGGCTACAGGTGCTCTGGGCTTTGCATGCGACAGGTCAGGTCCAGGAGAAGACAGATGGGAGAACAGGGACGGGAGAAGTGCGGTCGGTCACACAGTGCAATGCTCGCAGGCGGAGAAGAGGAGGACAACTGCCAGTGCACTGATTCCGCGTGTCACGCCCAGACTGGGGGAACGGAAAAGGAAGCCAGAGAGAGGGAGGGACAGAGCCTGTGATGCGTGCGTCAGGACAAAGCCGGTGTGCACAGCTCCCTTTGTCGGTCATCGCATTCAGGAAATTGGTTCTGTGTGAATCTGCGCTGCGAGGGAACGGTGCTTGGTTCAGAAGATTGATTCTGAATCAGCATCAAGTTGGCGCTATGGGGTTGTCGATTGTATACGGCTGCAGTGTGCTCCCGGCATCTTAATCTCTCTAGACTGCTTCTACCATGGCCTGGCGCAGACGGACAGACAGATGTTCCCTGGATGTCTTCCGATGCGACGTGTCTGCGTGTACGTTAAACCCTCGGCCGTGATGCTGCAGCGTAGCGAATCGTACCGAGCGTCACCGGCCGTGCTGTGGTCCAGACCCCCCGGAGCAATGCTGGAATTGAGATGCTTTGCACGCACCAACGCTAAGTGTTAGTCCGTGAGAAAGTTCGTGGTCCGGTAATCCCACCCGCGGCGAAAGTCCGCTCAGGCTCTGCGCGTGCCGATCGGTGCTATCCGCCGACCGGCCTTCCCGCCGCGTATGTCCCTCTCCCACGTGAGAGTTGGGTTCTGGTATTGATACTCATGAGTCTCTCAGCGACCGAGATCTCCGCGCCATACCTGGTATGTTGATTTCTCCATACGTCCTAGAACAAGGAGGGTGGTGTGTCGTTCGGGGCAGAAGTTCTTGGAATTTGGTATGATTGGAAGGTGGACTCATGCGCGTTCGCTCTTCACTTGAGCTGCAGAAATCACGGGATCTTAACTAGCGCTATGCCTTCTTATCGTTACTCCGTTAATCCGTGTCGGTCTAGGTATTCGTCGCGAATCGAAAACAATGTGTCCCTGTCCACGCCAGACACATATGTTGTATGCGAGAGCCTAGCAACCCTTCCGTTACGCTAAATACCTTGATGGAATTCGTCGCTCAGAGATGTCCACATATATCCGCAACTTCACCGAGATGATTGCATCCTGATGAAGCGGTGAGAATCCAACGTCGGTTGATATCCGGTTGGGTTGACTGCACTGATCATCGGGAATTCAGTCAGTTGGAGACAGCGATGTATGCATTGGAGCCGCGTGCCGATGGAAAGGTTCTCCGATGCGATCTTTTAGACGATCAAACATAAATGCAACTGTGTGGATCAATGAGAACCCAGTCAGATGACCGAATGAGGTAACGTGCAGTAGTCCCAAAGCAGCCGTAACCTTCCGGCAAACTTCGGATCAGGACCTTTTATGTACTCTCGGTCGGTATGAGACGGTCGGCGTAAATGAAGGGGCTACGTGAGATCCCATCCCCCTCCCTTACGCCGATGTGCGATGATTGGCTAACCGGTCACATGCTATGAATGCAAAGCTTCTAGGGAACTGCTGTAGGCGGCGGCTGGTTTTATGGATGATACATTTGACGAGCCCTGCCTTGGCGAGCAAGAAACAAACCATGCGTATCAGGGATCGATCGGATGATGCACAACGCTCTGCTGCTTTCCTGTCGACGGCCGGCTTGATCGATCCATTTTACCGAAATTACATACGAGCCCATCCCGTGCATTATATATAAAGTGAGCCCCTTTCACGCACCCGACCAGCCAAGCTCCAACGTTTCTTGTTAAGATTCTTGGGGACCCTGTAACCACTGCGCAGATGTTTCGTTTCGTGTAAGCAGAGTTCCGATGAGGCGGTCTCACTCCGGCCTTGGCGGCGAAACGGCACCTCATCTTCATCGCATCTCGTCCTGCATGTGTGGGCCTGGATGCATCTCTGAGCCCCAGATAACCCTGCTGCAATGTAGCCGTCCTTGGACAACAAGCATGCGTGGATGGATGGATGGGATGCCATCACATCACAGAGAATCGTCACGCCTGGCGGTAGGTTGCGTGGGTCCATTCTGTCACACACGGCGAAGATGCGTTGGAATAGGCATCTCCACGCATCTCCGCCTCGCGTGCGGATCGGGTTTTTCGGCTCGCCCGGGCGTGTGAGATGGGTGGCATGATTTGGGTTGATTAGATAACTAACGTGCGCCGCCCATCTCCGTCTTGGGTCACTGGTAAGTTGGTAGGCACAAGTAGTGTTCCAAGTCTAAATGTACAACTGTCCCGGACGTCTCGGACGCCTTTGCTCCTGCGATGCATCACAGCTCGATCCGTCGGAGCTGTGTGCTCGCTCGCATACGTGTTGGACCGGATGGAGATTGGGAGGCTCGTTTTTACTTCGTTGTTCGGAGCGCCCAGACTTGTGATTATGAATGAATTCGACGGTTCGCCACTGCCTGCCTAGATCGTGACGACGAACTAGCCTTCCCGCGAAGCGAGTCGTTCCTGGTCAGAGTCTGATGCCAGGCTCTCGCGATTGATCCGTGTCCCACTGCAAAGCAAGTACTTACCCGCGCGTAAAAACGTGAGCCCAAACAGGTCCGTATCTCGCGGTCGGAGATCCTGGTGGTACATTCGGCCGATATGTGTGGAATACAGTCTCAACGGATCGCTGTCGTTCGCGTGTGGTTCGCCAGGGCTAAGCAAGAAGAATGAATCAGTGCCATCTGCAGCTCTGCGCAATTGCTGTTGGATGATTCCCGTCAGTCGGGCAGGCGTTAGCTAGGCCTTATGTTATGTCTTCTCTGTGCGGGTTGGAAGGGTAACTTGGTTCCGGCGTGCCGCTACCCTTATGCAGATGATCAGATTGAACAATAACTACGCGGATCTTGTATTCACAGACAGACGTCACTGTCGACTAGTATGATGATTAGGGCCTTCCGTGGTACTTGGGTCCGGGAACTCGCGACGTGCGTTCGGTGGTGTCGGTGAGACCGTGCTCGATACAATTCACTCCGTGTTAGCCCCACCGAGTCTTCCATTCGGATTCCGTAAACTCGGGGGGAGGTAAGTACTGCAATCTGGTGGCTACGGTCGGCAGTCTCCGTTGCACCATAATCCGTCCGAATCAGGAAGCGAGTGGTCTGCTCGTTGCGGGTGATCTCCACAGATAGATGAACGCAGAGAGGGGTAGGATCGCATGTTTTCAGACGCACATGTTCGTTCTGGGGCCGGCGAGGCACTACCATTCTACCTCAGTTCACGGTGGCTACCGGTCAATCATTCGCGTGCGGAGTGTTCCGAGGGGTGATAGTCAGGAATGGAGTGGATTGAATGGCCTCAGAAGGGCCATAGCCGTGTTCGAGTAGAGCCAGACAAGTAAGCACTGGGATAAGGACACGGAAGAACAGGTCCATATACATACACGATTCGTAGAGCACACAGACACAGTAGCTCCTCGCCGCCAGAGGCGTCGGCTGGGAAGTTTCGGACCCACATGTTGATGAACTCTACTCCAAAAAGGGTGAAATTCATTTTTGCCACGCTGTCAAGTAAAATCATTTGCCTCGATATGGGAGCAAGTCACGCGCTGCTAAGGGATAGGCTATGGGGAATCCCAAGCACGTGATGAAATCATACCGCCGGATGGCAGTCACGGGCCAGACGAGAAGCCCAATGGGGATAAGGATCCGGCAGCGTGTGGTCCCTATTTTTGCAATTTGCTTTTGCTTTTGCGCGCCAGGCTGGATTCGGCCTCCTTGATGATCTGTCCTGCTTCGAATATCGTTACGCAGTAATTTTTTTTTGTCCTTGTGTGGCTGTTGTCGTTGCTTGCCGAGGCCCGAACGAATCCAGTCAGGATTTAGACGGACACGGACAAACGAAAAACGCAAGCGCACGTTACTGTATTCATACATATACGATCCGGATGGACGACGCACGACCTTTCCGACAAGGGCGACAAGACAAGCGCAAACGTGCCGCGTGCTTTTGTGCTCTGCCGCCGTTGACGACGACGCGACTGGCCAGCCCTTTCTGTCACTCAGCTCGCCTACTTTGATCACACCCAATTGCCCGCACCACACACCCTCCTCTACCACTATTCTTCCGTGCTATCACTTAACAGCTCCCCCTCCTCCCCTCCCTCCTCCACCCCGAGTTGGTACAGGGGATGGCCGCCACTGCACCAGCCATAGGCTTCAACGCGCTTCCCCGCGAGTTGGCGAGCTACACTCTGTCTACGCATGCGCTCATGACGCCGCCTGCGAGCGAGCGGGGCCTTTGGGCGCGAAGTCTCCTGCCATCCCACCCGCATCTCCATCCGCATTCGACGCAGGCCGACCAGGACCACGAAGGCTATCACCACCAGTATACGCACACTGAGATGGGCATGGAGCCGCGCACGTCTCCTGGATCGCAGACGAGGCATTCGTACCAGGGACACAGTCAGCTCTGTACGTCAATCCTTTTCTTTCATTGTTTCCTGTCCTTTTTTCAATTGCATCTGCACCCTTCACTCTTACATCCTCTTTGTCTTGTAACATCGTACCCCGACTGACTCCGCCTTCGCGCAGTGACACCCCCAGACGACACCTCACCAATGGATTCTGAGCCCAGATACCGGTATTCTACGGATGGGCACCGCAACGCGTCGGATTACGCGCTTTCGCATCCCGATCCACACCGCCAGTCCGGGGTGCGACATCCAACCCCGCCGCCACCACCCCCAGAGCCCGAACAAGAGCCGGAACCGCTCGCGTGGACGCGTGATTGGCTGGCGCAATCGAGCTCCGCGCGCGACACGGCGCGTGTCGTTGCGGAACGCACTTGCGAGATGATCTGCTATCTATGGTTCGCCCCGCCGAAGCGCAAGGCGGCCGAAGAAAACCCCGAGGATGCGGACAGGGATCGGCTAACGGGGTCGAAAACGAATGGGCTGCAGCTCGCCGCCAGCGCGACGTTTGTGCGGTTCGTGCAAAAGTTGCTCGAGACGACTCAGGTGTGTGTTGTTATGTGGAGTCGGATAGTGAAAGAAGGCTCATGTGATTGATATGTGTAGGTGTCGCAGTCGGTGATTGTGCTCGCGCTACATTACATCCACCGTCTCCGCGTCGCCTCGGCCGGGGACGCGAACCAAGCTCAAGCTCAGCCGGGGTCGGAATTTCGCGTTGCCGTCGCTGGGTTGATGATGGCGAACAAGTTCCTGGACGAGTGCGTGTCATGTGTGCTGTTGCCACTCATCTCTTCTAATGGGGCGTCAATAGCAATACGTATACGAATGCGACCTGGGCGTCAATCTCGTTGATTCCACTTTCGCAAATCAACACGATGGAGCGCGAGTTTCTCGCAGGCTGCGCGTACTCTTTGTACGTCAGCAAAAAGACGTACGAGGACTGGGGCCGGCTGCTGCGGGGCCTCGTCGGCGCCAGAGCGTCTGCCTCGAGACGCGGGGTCCGACACACGCACCCGCATGCAGTATATGCTACCCCACACCGCAGGACTCGCCGTGCTCCAAGTCCTAGCCCCGCGATGCGACGATCGAAGGGTGACGAAACATTTGCGCGTGAACGAGCGGAATGGGCGGAGGCTGAAATGGAGATTGGATCGAAACGATCAGCGGCCGCTGCGTTCAGTCCGCCTTCGTACCACCACTCTCATCCGCCTTCGCATCCCCAACGACCTGCCCCGACGGTGCTCATTCCCTCGTCTTTCGGGTCGACCTCGGCGCTGGATTCCGCGGCGTTTGCCGTAACGCGGAGCGCCGGAGCGCACTCGTATTCCCCCGTTGAAGGGCAGCCATCGTACCACTATCCTCATCAGCAACACTCCCCGGCGTTGGGGACAGGCGGCGTTACACCGTTGGAACATTTCGGATCGTTGTCTCTCCAGCATGAAGACGACGATGGACGGAAGCGTGCGCGCCCTGTCTCGTATCACCTTACACC